TAGCCCGATAGTAACACCAGGGTTTCTAGGGAAGCTTAGGGTTCAGGGGGGGTAGCCACGATAGTAACACCAGGGTTTCTAGGGAAGCTTAGGGTTCAGGGGGGGTCGCCACGATAGTAACACCAGGGTTTCTAGGGAAGCTTAGGGTTCAGGGGGGTCGCCACGATAGTAACACCAGGGTTTCTAGGGAAGCTTAGGGTTCAGGGGGGTAGCCACGATAGTAACACCAGGGTTTCTAGGGAAGCTTAGGGTTCAGGGGGGTCGCCGCGATAGTAACACCAGGGTTTCTAGGGAAGCTTAGGGTTCAGGGGGGCAGCCACGATAGTAACACCAGGGTTTCTAGGGAAGCTTAGGGTTCAGGGGGGTAGCCACGATAGTAACACCAGGGTTTCTAGGGAAGCTTAGGGTTCAGGGGGGTAGCCACGATAGTAACACCAGGGTAGGGAAGCTTAGGATTCAGGGGGGTAGCCACGATAGTAACACCAGGGATTCTAGGGAAGCTTAGGGTTCAGGGGGGTAGCCACGATAGTAACACCAGGGTAGGGAAGCTAAGGATTCAGCGGGGTAGCCACGATAGTAACACCAGGGTTTCTAGGGAAGCTTAGGGTTCAGGGGGGTAGCCACGATAGTAACACCAGGGTAGGGAAGCTTAGGATTCAGGGGGGTAGCCACGATAGTAACACCAGGGTTTCTAGGGAAGCTTAGGGTTCAGGGGGGTGGCCACGATAGTAACACCAGGGTAGGGAAGCTTAGGATTCAGGGGGGTAGCCACGATAGTAACACCAGGGTTTCTAGGGAAGCTTAGGGTTCAGGGGGGTAGCCGCGATAGTAACACCAGGGTAGGGAAGCTTAGGATTCAGGGGGGTAGCCACGATAGTAACACCAGGGTTTCTAGGGAAGCTTAGGGTTCAGGGGGGTAGCCACGATAGTTCAGGTTTATACCACCGCCCCATGCCCAGGCGCAGGAACTGGTAGTCGTCAACCGAGCCTGAACCCGAAATCTCCACTAAACCACATCCCAAACCCGGCCTAAGCCGAAGGGCCCGGAAAGACCCCAAACTCAGCACCCGAATTTCCGCCAGATCCTAAACGAACCTTACATCAGCCCCTAAAGCCTCAACCCCTAAACCCTAAACCCACTGCGCTTGGGGGAGTCAAGGAGCGGCGGTTGAAAAACTGTAAGAGGCAGCTGGTTACAGCTCAAGAAGCTGGCAAGGAGGAGCTGGTTTACTACAGGGGCCTTGCTAATTAGAATAGGGTTTTGAGGCCCATAATTATACTATAATGATGGTAAGGAGCCCCACACATAATATAGGTACTTGTTTAAGGCCCCTATATTACCTTACAAGGGTCCATGTGCCCAAACACTAGGGGTTTAGGGCTTAGGGGCTTTACCTATGGTCTCCATTGTAGTTCCTTTCTTTGCTTAACCAAACCCAAACGTATATTAAGGATCCTACAAGGTAACCCGAAAGAACTGCAATGGAGACTACAGGCACGGTTCGGGCACAGGGTTTAGATTGGCAGCATTGGCAGCCCCGAACCGTTTTAACTGCCAGGGGACTCCGACACGTTGCAGCACGATGCAACATGCGTTGAAGTATCATTAGTGCTGGGATGCCTTTCCTATATGTTGAGAAAATGGAAGAACTTGTTCAGCAGTTTCCGCGAAGCAGCTAAAACGAAGCCGTGTCCAAGTCGCGGCGAAGTCTTATCCATACCGTAAAAGCGCAGGAGGAGGTGGGCACGCTTCAGAAGCAGCTGCGCTCTCATCTCGCGGACCACGAGTGCTCGAGCTTGAGTGTAGCGTCCGCGTCCTTTAAGCCTTTAAGGTGTAATTTTGGCGCCTAAATACTTACCTATACTAATTAGTTTCGGGGTTCGAAGTCTCCGACCGACCTGGCACGGTTAACGAAGGCGAAATGGTCCAATCATCGAAACCCAATTCCTATCCCTCCAAGGACGTCATAGTTAGGGTCCTAGACCCCTTAAGGACCCCATAGTAAGGTCCCTGGAGGCATAGGGATTCTGTTGAAGATAGGGCTCCGTGTCACCTGAATGAACTCAGCCCGATGCGGGAACGACACCGAAATCTTCAACTCGACCCCTTTTGTGATAGCATTTTCCTCAAAGTCGCGCGTGGGCTTTGCAGTTGGGAATGCGCAGGATGTTGGGCATAACTGCAAGATAAGAAGAAATGGTTGTGCAACGCCCGACATCCTTAAAACCCTAAACCCCAAACACCGAAACTTCCCTGTACATCAAAACCCCTATAAGTCCCAAACCGTAAATCCTAAAACCCTGAACCTACTAAACCCCATACAGCAGGTACATTACGTACTACCCGAAGCACCTGCCATACAACTCGCTGTTTCCCGCGTGGAAACCCAGCCTGCCTCGAGTTTCTGTTTTGGGTTTACTACGGAATTTGGGCTTCCAGGTTTGTGTTTTTTTTAGAGTTTAGGCTTCAAGGTTTAAGGATGTGAGGTGTAGAAGGTTGGGGTTTGAGGGCTGGGGTTGGGCATTTAGAGTTTCGAGATTTGTTTGGTAGGGGCTGGGGCCAGGGAAGGGGTTGGGTTGCTTTAACACGTTTCAATCACTGCTCAGTCTTGCCTACAGCTTGCCTTTGGGGAAGAGGCGTGCAACGCACACTGCATGACGAATCACGAAGCCTGCAGGAACTCCTCATGGCACAGTTGAGCCGAAATAAAAACCCTGTACCCCCTGACTGAACGGTTGCTCGGGCTTCTTGTGATCGGAAGAACAGACTGATTTCATGACTTCGGGAAGCTCGCAGGCTTAAGCCAGATCTGAATGCTGGCGATCCAAGGGACATTGTACGCTTAAGCCTAGAGTCCTTTTCACCCAGAGCCAAACCCGAAGCTCTAAATGCGATGCCACAGTCCAAGCCAAGTCATGCTGTAACCGTATCACCAAAACCCTGTCTCTTCCACGCAGAAGCTGCAGGGGAGCACACCATGTTATGTCAAGGTCTAACCAAATAAATTTGAGGGCGAGGATTTGGGCTTTACTCTGCAACAAGTGGAGATGTATGGAATGTCCTTGTGGATCATACATACTATTACCCAAGTCTCAATAAAGACTCCCAGACCTACCATCAGGAATATCCCATTAGACCGCCACAATAGTAAACGGCGTAAACCGAAGATCCACCTTCCAATTGCCTCTAGCCCCTGACCCTGAAACTTAAACCCTAAACTATACGCTCTACGTTCTGAACCCTCTTAAGCCCTAAACTGCCTAAACCCTGAACCCTAAAAGCTGAAAACCCCAAACCCGAAACCCCTAAATTCTAAAGCCCCCTAAATCCTAAACTCCTAGACCTATTCTAAGCCCTATAGTGAACCCTAAGCCCTATAAGCCCCAATGAACCCTAAACCCTAAAGGCCCGGACCTGTACCTTTCCTTTGTGAGACAACACGAGACCGAGGCGCAAGACTCTGAGGCCTCACAGCAGAGGCTCAGAAGAGGACTTTGAAGGTGTAATATAGGGGGCTCAAAGAATTACCTATACTATTTTGGGGGTTCCTTATTATAAATATGGTATATATAGCATACCCCAAGACATTATGAAGGCCCCTACAGTAGTCGGTGTAAGGGGTTTAGGGTGGGGGGTTTAGGGTTGTGGGTCTGGGGTTTGGGGGGTTTAAGGGTTTTGGGGTCTGTGGTTTCGTGGGCCTGGGGTTTAGAAGCTCTCGCAGGAGTGCTAGCATACGAGTTTGCAGTGCCTAAGGCTAGACCTGTGCAGTCGGTTTACAACACTCAAAGTGTTCAGATACTCTTACTTATAGTAGTGTATGAGTATATGCGTAGATCTGTAGAAGTAGGGCCATGGGCGAGCACGCATTTCCACTGTCCACCTTGGTTTCGCCAAGAATCACGAGTTCTCCGGCTCTGTTGCTTCCAGCTCGTCGCCCGCCGAACCCGAGTTGATTGAAGCGTCTTGTTTGGGCAAAGGCGGGGAGTTTCTAGCAATTGATCTAGAACATACTATTGTTTGGTTGAAGAGGATTTGATATCGGTCTAAGTTTTGACTGGGTTTTCGGGGAAGGCCGATAGTTCCCACATTTGTTTAAGTACATGCCGTGAGCCTCTGCCGAGATTCAGAACCCTAGACAGCCTAGACCCCAAACCCTGCACTCTAAGCCCTCCGCCAAAACGCAGCTCAAAAAGTAACTCCGCCAAACCCTGCCTGCTGAAATCCGACACCAAACCCTAACCATCAACCCTAAGGAGAACGCCCCGGCTCCATGGGGGTCAGGAAGCTCACTAACCCTACCTTAAACTACCAAACCCTACTTTTTGTAGGTCCTTATAGTAAACCCTAATATGGAATTTATAGGGACCCTACAAAAAAGTAGGTTTTGGTAGGTTAAGGTACAACCTAAAGCCCCCAACCGCAGAGGGCTTTGATCCCAAACTCTCATCCCTGGGGCCCTAAACCTTAAGCAACAAAGCTTAGGGGTACTTAGAACTAATTTTTAATTTTTGGTTATTATAATCCCTAAGAAACAGCTAAAATTATAATTTTTGCTAGGTTCTAAGTTCAGTATGGAAAAGCCGCAGGAAACCGCCTTCATAATTGGAATAGATCTTTGGGGTATGTTGGCCAAGAGGGGATACTAGGAGGAAACATCTTGGGGTGGCCCGTACACCCTGGAACCCTAAACCCTCAACCCTAACCCTAAACTCTCAACCCTAAACCCGCAAACTCTCAACCCTACGCCCTCAACCCTAGAACCCTAAGCCCTCAACCCTAAAACCCTAAACCCTCTATAGACCCTATAAACCCCTGTAAGCCCTTATAAACCCTGCCAGACACCAGTCCAAGGGTACAAGGAGGGACCCTTAATAAGGACCCCTAGGTATATACCCTTAATATAGCTATTATATACCCATTATATAGCCCATTAAGGTAGGGGTCCCCTTTAAGGGTCCCTCCTTTTCCCCTTTGAACCAGGCGCGCAGAGATCCGGCGGATGATCCGCGATCAGCTGGCGCAGGAAGGCCGCCCTGGGGTTCCGAGGTTTGCGGTTCAAGGGGTATAGGGATTTAGGGATTTAGTGGTTTAGGGATTTAGGGGTTTAGGGATTTAGGGGTATAGGGATAGGGGTATAGGGATTTAGGGGTATAGGGATTTAGGGGTTTAGGGATTTAGGGGTTTAGGGATTTAGGGGTTTAGGGATTTAGGGGTTTAGGGTCTAGGGTTCCGAAGTTGTTCGTTGTTTTGTTGTGTTTTCAGCAGGCATTTTTGGGTTCGGAGCCTTCAAAAGTCTCTGTGTCTGTCCACTTTAGGATTTAGGGTTTAACGGGTTCGGAGCTTTCTGTTTGTGTTGATGGTTTCTGCGTTTGCGGAATTCGGCGGGTCCATAACCCTAAACCCAAAACCCTAAACCCTAAGTAGAGCTTGGAGCATTCAAGGCTGACTATTTTTGACCTTTGCCTTGTTTGGAGTCTCGGGTTGTCGGGCTTGCAAGCTGAAGGTCTTGAGAATTCGACTCCCTTGAGGGGTTTAGGGTTTACCTGGACACTATGAAGCCTTCCTTTCTCAGGTTCCCTATTATAATTTATTTATATAAGTCCTTAAAAAGGTCGGTTATTTGGAGTTAAGGTAGGGATTGACATCCCGAAACCCTATAAAGCTCTCAATTTGAACAGATTCTAAAGGGCTGCCTGATCTTGGACGGTCTGGGTTCTTTTCGGCGCTAGCTTGGTCCGAGGTGTTCGCCTTCGATATTTGGTTTTAGGGTGTCAGGGCTTAGGGTGTATATGGCTGATTTTGGCTTATACATGCTTGTAGTTAGACTTTAAAGTTCAGAGATTTTTGCTAGGGGGTTCAGGGTCTCATCTTCCTAGTACCTATGGTCTCCATGTTAGTTCCTTTTTGGGGGTTTAACCAAACTCATATTAAGGATCCTAAAAGGTAACCCCCAAAAGGAACTATGATGGAGACTACAGGTAGCTTGTGGGATTGACCATCCGGAAGCTTCACAAAAGCTAGGCTTCCATTCATGAGTGTTTTTCCTCCCGGGTTTTTAGTAGGGAATGGTGGAATGGACCCCTATGATAAACCCCCAAATCCCTTATAGTAGTCCCTCGAACCATGTTCCTGTAGGATAGGTCCCTCATAGAAGTCACCAGTCAACAACAAAACTGCTTTTGCGGAGTGTCAACATTTGCTGCTCAAGGCATTGCGCTTGAGCAACGGTATGCTTTTGGGACGCACTGGCCAGAAACGTTGCACAGCGATGTGAATATGCATATATATATATATATATATATACACACACACACACACATGAATACACATATATATATATATATATATATATATAACCGTGAATACGCAGGTACGGAAGCTGCCCTTGATGCTGTGGGTGATGAGCCCCAGGCACCGTGGGTGTCTGTGGTAGGAACCCGTCGAGTTTTGGGTGTGGGCTGGTGTCGGAGAGTTGGGATTTCGTGTTGTCTCTCAGCTGTCATAGCCGATCTTGTTCTGTAAACCTGTTGTTCAGGCTTAATACAAATTCAGGCAACTGTACGTCGGCCTTCTGCCGGACACTGGAATTGAAGCTGCTTCAGTTACTACCCACCTGTCTTCGCAGACTGCTCCGACTTGCGTTGTCAGTGACTTCTTTTGGACACCTCTGCGCGGACAAGCCGCTCTCTCAATCCGGCCGAAGAGCTGCCCTTCAGCATGCCCCGCAAGCAAAAAGTGTTTTGCATCATTAGGCAACCTTAAATCCCAGAACCAAAACAGAAACCTACAACCCCAAAGTTACACTGTACATTTGTCGAGCTCCAAAGCCCTAAGCAGTGAACCCCGTAAACCCGAAACCCTGAACCCTCTGAACCCTTGAAATGGTGGTGGTTTCTTGTTCATGCTAGGTCTCCAGCGAGAAGAAAGGCCCGCCTTTTGCCACTGATTTCGATGCTGCCTCCGTGATCCCCTGAGAGTCCGGTTGCCTAAGCAGTGAGTTGCAGGGACATGAATACAATAATAAGAGACACACGCACATACATACAAGTTCATATATATATATATATATATATATATATATATGCATACATAGAGATTCGGATCTTTATATATCTATGCCTGCTAGCCACCTTGCATACAGCGTACTATACGTATGTATGCATAATTGTTATTCTTATATACCTACACACATGTGTGTGTTTATTGATGTACTCATTTATTCATTTACCACTCTTCGTGTCAAGACAGTAATCACGATATATAGGTAGCTGAGCTCCTCGGGATGTCTCATGATGGCGGACTGACCGAAGACTCTGAATTGAGATCCAGGCGAAGTGCAGCGCAAAGCCTCCAAAGTGAAACCGCAGAAGCAGCAGCAGCCGCAGCAGAAGAAAAAGAAGAAGCCGAAGCAGCGTGAAGAGCTGAAAGAAGAGCCACTTGCAGAATCTCCTGTTGGGCACTTAGATTTTAACGGGCAGCACCCAGACACAGCAGGCTGGCTATCAGGATTTTGAGCATCTACTGCCGATGTTTCGTGTGTCGGTTTATGCCCTTGGCCCCCCAAAGGCCAAAACTTCGTACTTTATCGGCCCGTACCGTGGTCTCCAGAACCCCAGAGATGCCCTTATCATTCAGCATGTATCTCATAAACCCTGGCCCTACACTCAGAAACTCTAAGCCCTGCGTAAACCAGTCAAGGCTCTATGCCCCCCAATGGTGTAGTCACAAGAGATCCGGGCCGAGGTCGGTGAGACAGGTCATCCGGCTGAGTTTGCTTTGTCAGAAAATTGCCATGAATCCGTTTCAAAGTTGGTAATAAGGACATCCACCTAGTCGGTCCAGGCAGCGTATGAATGTAGGACGACATCGGATGGTGCAACATGAAGGCCTCCAAGATCTCATTCTGCAGATAAAGAAGTTGGCATAGGTTTTTCAAAAATCGTAGTGCATAGGTTTTTAAAAAACCGATGATCTCATTCTGCAGATAAAGAAGTTGGCTGTTCCCGCGAAAGCTTGCCGCAGTGCACAGCACCGAGTCCCAAACCTAAACCCGCTCCCCACACCCTAAACCCTACCCATAGGCCCCACAGTGAGTGGCTCTTTTTCGGGCTTGCCTTCTGGGACTTTAAATAGATGAACCCAAAAAGGAACTACTATGGGGGGCCTATGGGTACTGTATGCCATGGTCAGAACCGAAAGCCCCGAACCCTAAACCCTAAACCCTAAACCCTAAACCCTAAACCCTAAACCCGAACCATATCCCCGCGGGCGCTGAATCCGAAGTGCCGAAGCCAGGCGCGACGCCGAGTAGGAAGCTGAAGAAGCGGCGGGTTGAGGACCCGCGGTTTTGGGGTTTAGGGTTTTAGGGTTTTGGGGTTTTGGGGTTTTAGGGCTTTGGGGTTTTAGGGCTTTGGGGTTTTAGGGTTTTAGGGTTTAAGGTTTTAGGGTATAGGGTTTTAGGGTTTAGGGTTTTGGGGTTTTGGGGTTTTAGGGCTTTGGGGTTTTAGGGCTTTGGGGTTTTAGGGTTTTAGGGTTTAAGGTTTTAGGGTATAGGGTTTTAGGGTTTAGGGTTTTGGGGTTTTGGGGTTTTAGGGCTTTGGGGTTTTAGGGCTTTGGGGTTTTAGGGTTTTAGGGTTTAAGGTTTTAGGGTATAGGGTTTTAGGGTTTAGGGTTTTGGGGTTTTGGGGTTTTAGGGCTTTGGGGTTTTAGGGCTTTGGGGTTTTAGGGTTTTAGGGTTTTGGGGTTTTAGGGTTTTAGGGTTTTAGGGCTTTAGGGGTTTTAGGGTTTTGGGGTTTTCGGGTTTTGGGGTTTTAGGGTTTTGGGGTTTGAGGGGTTTTAGGGTTTTGGGGTTTTAGGGTTTTAGGGTTTTGGGGTTTTAGGGTTTTAGGGTTTTAGGGCTTTAGGGGTTTTAGGGTTTTGGGGTTTTAGGGTTTTGGGATATTAGGGTTTTGGGGTTTGAGGGGTTTTAGGGTTTCGGGGTTTTAGGGTTTTAGGGTTTTGGGGTTTTAGGGTTTTAGGGTTTTAGGGCTTTAGGGGTTTTAGGGTTTTGGGGTTTTAGGGTTTTGGGGTTTTAGGGTTTTGGGGTTTGAGGGGTTTTGGGGTTTTGGGGTTTTAGGGTTTTAGGGTTTTGGGGTTTTAGGATTTTAGGGCTTTAGGGGTTTTAGGGTTTTGGGGTTTTAGGGTTTTGGGGTTTTAGGGTTTTGGGGTTTGAGGGGTTTTAGGGTTTTGGGGTTTTGGGGTTTTGGGGTTTTAGGGTTTTAGGGTTTAGGGGTTGAGGGGTTTTAGGGTTTTGGGGTTGAGGGGTTTTAGGGTTTTGGGCTTTTAGGGTTTTGGGGTTTTGGGGCTTTAGGGTTTTTGGGGTTTTGGGCTTTTAGGGTTTTAGGGTTTTGGGGTTTTAGGGTTTTTGGGGTTTTGGGGTTGAGGGGTTTTAGGGTTTTGGGGTTTTAGGGTTTTAGGGTTTTAGGGTTTTAGGGTTTTGGGGTTTTAGGGTTTTAGGGTTTTAGATTTTAGGGTTTTAGGGTTTTGGGGTTGAGGGGTTTTAGGGTTTTAGGGTTTTAGGGTTTTGGGGTTGAGGGGTTTTAGGGTTTTGGGCTTTTAGGGTTTTAGGGTTTTGGGGTTTTAGGTTTTTTGGGGTTTTGGGCTTTTAGGGTTTTAGGGTTTTGGGGTTTTAGGGTTTTTGGGGTTTTGGGGTTGAGGGGTTTTAGGGTTTTGGGGTTTTAGGGTTTTAGGGTTTTGGGCTTTTAGGGTTTTAGGGTTTTGGGGTTTTAGGGTTTTTGGGGTTTTAGGGTTTTGGGGTTTTAGGGTTTTTAGGGTTTTAGGGTTTTGGGGTTTTAGGGTTTAGGGTTTTGGGGTTTTTGGGGTTTTAGGGTTTTGGGTTTTAGGGTTTTAGGGTTTTAGGGTTTGGGGTTTTAGGGTTTTAGTTTTAGGGTTTTGGGGTTTAGGGTTTTGGGGTTTTGGGGTTTTTGTTTTCAGGGTTTTGGGCTTTAGGGTTTTAGGGTTTGGGGTTTTAGGGTTTTTGGGGTTTTGGGGTTGAGGGTTTTTATGGTTTTTGGGGTTTTAGGTTTTAGGGTTTTTGGGTTGAGGGGGTTTTTAGGGTTTTGGGGTTTTGGGGTTTTAGGGTTTTAGGGTTTTAGGGTTTTGGGGTTGAGGGGTTTTAGGGTTTTAGGGTTTAGGGTTTTAGGGTTTTAGGGTTTTAGGGTTTTAGGGTTTTGGGGTTTTAGGGTTTTAGATTTTAGGGTTTTAGGGTTTTGGGGTTGAGGGGTTTTAGGGTTTTAGGGTTTTGGGGTTTTAGGGTTTTGGGGTTTTAGGGTTTTGGGGTTTTAGGGTTTTGGGGTTTGAGGGGTTTTAGGGTTTTGGGGTTTTAGGGTTTTAGGGTTTTAGGGTTTTGGGGTTGAGGGGTTTTAGGGTTTTAGGGTTTAGGGGTTTTGGGGTTTTAGGGTTTTGGGGTTTAGGGTTTTAGGGTTTAGGGTTTTAGGGTTTAGGGTTTTAGGGTTTAGGGTTCTACGGCTCATAAGGCTCATCGACTTACTATACGGCCTTAGTATGTAGGATGGGGTTTGGGGCTTAGGGAACTGCAATAACAATCAGGAATCCTGTGGAATGATATTAGTGCATTTTTTTCAGGCTTCTCTGGGCTCATAGGGCCTGTGGGTTTTGAGTTCGGGATTTAGGGTTTGATTTATGCTTATGCTCAGGAGATTTGCCTGCAAATCCCAACTTAGGTGTTTAGTTTAGGCGCAGGATTTAATGCGTTTCGGGTTTAGGCTTTAGGGATCTCTAACAGATGAGCCGGACCATATAACATGCATGCCGTACACTACAAGGCTATACTGTATACAGTATCCAGTGCGTTAAACAGTATGTGTGCACCCCTAAAACTTCAACCCCCCAACCCCAACCGCACATGTGTTCAGATAGTATATACGCCGATCCTAAAGTATTCATGTAGGAATCCACGCGAGGCGAACGTATACCCTATATAGCTACATGGCACCACAGGGCGCAATTTATTTGAACAGAATAGGTCGAGGAAAGAGCTTCCTACGAGGCTTTCCGGATCGAGCAACGGTTTAAAACATACGGGAACAAAAAGAAGGGGTCTGAATAGGTGCGAATACACCCGTATAGCGAAAATGGAGTTACCCAGCGGTGGATCCTAAAGCCGAAATCTCTACTCTAGTTATCAATGCCCTTGTATGAAGCATTCTGCTACTAAACAGGCGATGTTCTGCAGCCGCCAAGGAGCAGACCCACAGACCATTCGATCCGATTAGGCACACTCCCAACATGCTAGATGAATGCCTTAGTCCCGGTCAGAATGGGCTTCTCAACCCCACAGACTTGGAAGGCAAAACCTTCGGAGGAGCCTGCGAAGGTGGGAATCCGAATGATCTAATCGTCAGGCATGAACCAACCAGATAAATGGGATGGCATGTTGCTGGCTTTTGCTTCATGCGGGATCCACCGTCTAATATTTGGTTTAGCAGTGTACTGGGTCCTCGATGGAGCTGGTGTAAGTTGGGTGGTTGTCAAAATTAGGGTCCCTGGGTACCCTAAATTATAGGCCGTATTATTATAGGAGCCGTATGATAATTGGGACCCAAAAAGGGACCATAATTTTGACAATCACCCAGTTGGGTTAGCACAGCTCGCACCTTTTGTTTCGAGGGTGCGTGGGAGACGGGAGTCCATCCCCTGCCTTTAGTCTCCACTGCAGTTCGTTTCTTGGCTCAACCGAAATTATATGGAACATCCTCAAAGGTAACCGAAAAAAGCTACAATCCAGACTGCAGGTAAACCCTAAGCTGACTGAAAAAAGGCCCAGAATGCTAGAACAACCACAACGCGAGAGCAGCACGGTGCAAGCGCTAACAAAAAACACACACACACACACACACATTCTCTCTCTCTCTCTCTCTCTCTTTCTTTTTTTTTTTCTCTCTCTTTCTCTCTCTCTCTCTCTCTCTCTCTCTCTCTCTCTCTCTCTCTCTCTCTCTTCTCCGTTTGTCTCGTCTCTCTCTACATATACACATGTGTGTTATATATATATATATATATATGGTCACCCCCCCCCCCATGACAGACCATCCCCTTTAAAACATCGCTCCCACCGGCGTGTTCGTGCTTTTTCCGGAGTATCGAGTTTGAGCCCTCCGAACGTATCCCTGGAACCACCAAAAGACTGAGACCAGAAAGCAGCACGATAAGGCGCGCGGGTGTCCTACCAAGAAAGGAATTACAGAGCACACGTGTATGGATGAGGGTTGTGCTGACACACTACATAGTAAGCACTACACAGTAATCTTACTTGAGTCATATATAGAGCAGATTCCAGCATTTCCAAAATTTCCAAAATTTCCAAAATTCTCTCCCCTAACTTTCCAGATTTCCAAAATTTCCAAAATTTCCAAAATTTCCAAAATTTCCAAAATTTCCAAAATTTCCAAAATTTCTAAAATTTCCAAAATTTCCAAAATTTCCAAAATTTCTAAAATTTCCAAAATTTCCAAAATTTCTAAAATTTCCAAAATTTCCCGACCTAGTCGACAGGATTTTTCCAAAACATAAGGGCGGACTTTTTGGAAATTTTGGAAATTTTGGAAAGTTTGGAAATTTTGGAAATTTTGGAAATTTTGGAAATCCGGAAAGTTAGGGGAGAGAATTTTGGAAATTTTGGAAATGCTGGAATCTGCTCTATATATGACTCAAGTAAGATTACTGTGTAGTGCTTTTAACACTAACGTTGACATGTATATTAATGCTTTCATTTCGAATATGCACATTACTAATTCTATTATTAACATTAATACTCCTACGCCTACCAATAGTCATATTCATATTGATATTAATGCCAATACTAACAGACACCTGCGTATATTAATGTCCGCAGATATACATACCACTATCTGAAAAGCAAATATATCAATGCATTCGTGTACTAACGTAGTATATTCGTATTTAATTTGTCATATACCCAGTTTCCAACGTGACAATATACTACTTGTTAACGTCTGATTATACTGTATTGATATGCTAACTTGCTAAGACACGAATACTGTAATATGCAAGTACACTGACACATGGCAATGGTATACTAACATATGGATATACCAAAAAAGTTGTTAGATAATATACGAATATGATAAATGAAGTAGCATACCAGGATACTCATACACTAATATGTTAATAATCGAAGATAATAGCACACCAATATACTAATGTACTCATGCACGAACGTACGCATGCATTAATATACTAAGAGCATACAAACATGCAGGTATACAAACATATTACTGTTCGAATACATTATAATGTGTTGGTATACTAAGCTGTTTATATAATCTATCAGTATACTAATATATCAAAACTAATTATAGTATTGATACGCATACTAGCACGTCCGCGAATATTACACTGATGTTAAATTCATCATTAAGACTGATTAAAACTGACATCGACATTGGCACTGGCATTAACACTAATTATCACTAAATATGCTAGTGTACTAATATACGAATACTGTAAAAGGCAAGTACACTGACATGTTCACATGCCATTATGCCAACATATTGATATACCTATAAGCTATTAGGGAAAATACGAATATAGTAAATGTAGTAATAGACCATTATAATAATATACTAATATACTACTACGTTAACATACGAATATCATGATACACCAATATACTAATGTACTCATGCACCAACGTACTAATATATTCGCGCAATCTTCAAGTCTGCAAATATACTATTGTTCGAATACATTACTGTATTATTATATTAAGCTCAAAATGTACGAATCAACCAGTATATTCACATATCAAAACTATTTCTAATACTGATACTAATACCAGCACTTCTGTGAATAATAAACAGATACTAAAACCAGCATTCAGACTGATACTAATACTAACACGAGTACTATCACTGACATTGACATCGACACTGGCACTAACACCAGCACGAACATAATCACGAGTTCATATTTACTATTATTGATATGTATACTTTTATTCAATACTAATACTAATACTGATGCTAATACTAATACTAAATACCAATACCAATACTAGTACTAAAGCAATACCCATCCTAATATCAATACTACCACAAAACTATTACTCATATGAACACTGATACCAGGATTAGGACTACTACAAACAATGACAGCAGTACTAAGAATAGAACCAAGAACAATACATATTAATCCTAACACTAATACTAGTACTAATACTAGCTACTAATTCTAATACTCATACTCATACCAATACTAATGTCACCACTACTGCTGCTACTACTACTGCTACTACTACGACTACTACTACTACTACTACTACTACTACTACTACTACTAGTACACATACTTAATACTAAAACTAATACTGATACTCATACTAGTCACTAATACTAATACTAATACTCATTCTAATACTAATACAAATACCAATACTAATGCTACCACTACTACTGCTGTGCGACAACTATTGCTAGTACGACGACTACTACTATTAACATCAATACACATACTTAATGCTAATACTAAGAGTAATACTAATTCGAATACTATTACTCATACTAAACATCCTAATATCAATACTACCACAAAACTAATACTAATGCTAACACTGATACAAGAATTGAGATCTACAAACAGTAATAGTGGTACGAAGAGCAGAATTGAGATTAAGATTGGGACTAGGAGCGCTGCATGCGTGTGAAGAAATTTCCAAAAATTGCAAACCATCTAAAAGAACATTTTGGAATTGAGTTTGGGAGAAGTGTCTGTCGCCTATCCGTTGACAGATCCTGCCTGGGGACGCACGCCACCCTTCCCCTTCCCCACGACGGTCTGTCATGGGGGGGGGGTGAGCATATATATATATATATACATATATATTAATATACATATATAAATACTTTATGTATACATATATACATATATGCTTGCCTAGAAAAGGTGGGTTCTTTAGGGTCCTGGTATACCCTACAAGCCCCAATCCCTACAGTCATACAGCGTCCGACCTGCCTAAACACCCCTTGGCCAGGCAGCGAAGGAAGAGGCCCCCCGAAAGAAGCCTTTAAAGCAACCAAAGAGAAAGGCCCGTTGAGGGTTTCGGGTTTGGGGTTCAGGTTTTGGGGTTTATGGTTACTACCGATCTGGTGTTGCGCCAAAGGTCTGCGCGTTTTGGGGTTTGGGTTTGAGGATTTACGGTTTAGGTTGGGGCTCAGGGATTTTTAGGGCTTCGGGATTTGCAGCAGTTGCGGGGATTGCTGATTGGAACATGCACTACGGGTGGGGAGAAGTCATATTTGTTTCGTTTGAAGTTTCCGAATTCCTATACTATACCCCTCGTATGTGTTTGAGTTGAAGTTTTCGAAGTTTTTATACCCAAGCCCCTGCAAAGCCCCGATCCTTCAATCACCACACCCCAACAGGACCGCACAGGGGCTGTGTTTTGGTTTTCTAGGACTGTGTTTGGTGTTGGGAGCACATGTCACGGATCTCTAGATCTTCAGGGTCTCGGGGTTCGGGCATGTCGGGTTCTGGTCTTGGGTTCGGATTTCAGGCGCCAGGTGCAGTTTGTAACAAGGTCGCAGGCTTTTGGAGGCTCTGGTGTCTTAAGTTTTACTGCGTTAGACGCCCTAAAGTCATCGTGAGGCGCAGAAGGTGGAGGAGCCCTCCGCCAAGCCGGCTAAGCCAGCGAAGACAAAGATCTCCAAAGGCAAGGATGGGGCTTTCGGTAGACGGCGCTCGTTTGACAGCGATTTAAGGCCTGTTGTGGGCTTTCCGCTTCAGGGAAGATGATTTCCGCCACCGGACAGGATATCAGGCACTTACGGCCCCAAATCACCAGACCATTGTCATGCTGGTCAACATGCGAAGATACATAGGGTTTTAGGCTTGCCGTTCAGGGTTTAGAGGTCTGAGTTCAGGCTCAAAAAGTTCCACGGCAGCCGACGGTGATGGCGGCCTCCATCCCTCCTGGAACGCCAAGAAGACGGCCAAGGCGGAAGAACTTACCTTTGGTTAGTAGGGAATGGAGGAATGGTGTACAATTGTAACTACTATTACTACCAATCTTCCATTCCCTACTAACCAGTTCCTTCTGTGGGTTCATATGGGTAGTTGTCAAAATTAGGGTCACTCTTTTGGGTCCTTCTTGTAATACGGCACCTAATATTTAGGGTACCCAAAAAGGGACCATCATTTTGACAGCCACCAAAATGCATCTCCTGCGTTCCAGATGCTTGTTTTGATGGATTCAGGGTTAGGGTTTGGGGGGATTCTGGGGTTTAGAGCTTGGGGTTTGGATGGGTTTGAGGTTTTGGAACTCTACGTATCTTTGTGGTGGATGGTCACACACACACACACACACACGCACACCGCTAGGAATAATCAGATATTATGAAGCCAGTATTTTTTCTGCAAGTACTTACCGTCCAGTCTTGCACGCTGCATTGAGGCGCAAAGCTGCATTCACTCTCGGAGCCTTATCGCTGAAAGTTCGACCAACGTACTCGCAGCATCGTCAGAGGTTTCTTACAGGATACAGGTGGGGCACTTGGCTTACGGTCGGAAGGTACCGTAAACAAGGCGAATGCACCGCAGAGTTCCGTAGGTCCTTCCTGTACCATGTATATTAATGTATATATATATATATATATGTACACGGAAGTAAGTATGTATGTTTGTCTTTTTGTATGTATACATGCAAGCATGATGTATGTACATATGTCTGTATGTACTCTGTATGGATGGATGCCTGCATGCATGGATGTGTGTATGTATGTATGTATGTATGTATGTATGGTTGTATGTACGTAGGTAGGCAGGTAGATAGGTAGGTGGGTAGGTAGGTTGTATGGATGCATAAATGCATGCATGTACGTATGCATGCCGTAGGTATGTATGTTGGCGTAGACACTACAGGCGCAGAATAGGTCAGTTTTCAAGCTCCTTCGGGTACCGACTAAGGCAGTGATTGTATCTGCTCTTAAGCCTACTATGCGTTCTGTTAATGATATTGCTCTACACCAGCTAAACCTCCTACATACACCGAAAGCCTAAACCCTACACCCTGAAACCCTGAAGCCTATAACCCTAAGACATCGGACTCCATCAGCCTCAAGACCTGAAGCAACTAGAACCTAAACCCTAAACCTTAGAAGCTGCCCCCCCACCCTGTAATAGTGACTATAAGGATTACATTAGGGCCCTATTGTATTCCTATTTTACCACTATTACAGGGTGGGGGGCCCCTTCTAACCTAAACCCTAAACCCTAAACCTCAGCCCGAGACCCATAAGACTTTAGTAAGAAAAAGGAAAGAACCCTGAGCCCTTGCACCCCAATCGCCGAACCTCAAACCCTAAACCCCTGAGCACAAGCAAACCCAAACCCTCCAGTACAGCCAACAAGCACAAAAACCGCAGCCCTTAGGTACAACGAAAAGTTTCTAAGATCCTGAATAACCCTGAAGTACAACAACAGGACTGTAAAACCTGCACGCTAATTACCCATAGGCTCCACAGTAGTTGCTTTTTGGCATTGCCTTCTAGCATTCTAAATATGAACCCCAAAAGAAACTGCTATGGAGCTTCTAGGTAAGCCCTTATTATGTCCTTCTCTCAGAACTTTCTTGAGAGGTGAGCGGCGCGCTGGTGCAAGCTGCCGGAGATCGGAAAGTTTTCGATAGCGATTCCGACGCTTAATCCGAGCCGTCCCAAAAAGCAGGATTACAGGTAGGGTGTAGGGAGTTAGGATTTAGGGCGCAGGGCTTAGGGAAGGAGGAGGTGGACCATGAGTCACGTTTGGGGATGTTTATACCGTAATGAAGCCTGAACCGAACCTCTTGGCATTCTAAGAGGTTTTGCTGAGTTTGGGGAATTCTGGGTGTAGGCTGTAGGTTCATCAATATCACGCTCCCTGCCTGATCGACAGTTCTGTGGGAAAACAACGGGTAAAGCAGCCGGCTTGGGATCTAGAAGCCGGAATATTTCCCAAGATAGTTCCGGAGCGTTCCTTTATTATATGACTATACTAGACTATACTACAATACACCCCGAAACCCTACTGGAAGAGTCCAGGCGCCCTGTATTGCTGTAGCTCCGAAGACGCCTTCAAAGGCAACCCTGTTATTCTCATCAGTAAGGTGCCGATATTTCCGATACTAGTGTGCTTGGGCCGGTCCCTAAACCCTAAACCTAAATTCTCCTGCAGTGCGTCCCTTCGAGGTCGCAAGCGCTGGAGCATATGGCATCCCGAGGAAACATTTGGGTTTTAGGGCTTCGGGTTTAGAGTTTTGGGGGTTCAGATTTTGGGTTCAAGAGATCCGAGCTTCGGGGTTGGACTTTGAGGTTGTGCTTTGGTTTTTTCAAAAGTAACGAGGAATGGGAATGAAAGAGCATACGTACTTCATATTCAATGCAACTGTAGCGAGCGCCAAGCGTGCAAGGTTTCCGGGGGCTTGTTTCCGGAGTTGTGCGGGTTTCAATGCTTCCGGGTGATCCTGGCAATAAATGGACTTCCCTGTATTTGCGTTCGGCCTTAACGCGGCCAGTAGTTTTCATGAGCCCCGTCCGCAGGACGCTCACCTGCTGAGTCCTGTCCTGGAGACTACCTGGCATGTTGAATGATCTCAGCCGATTGGGTTTGGGGATGGGTTTATGGCTCAGAGCTTCATGGTGCGATGAACTTCACGCCAGATGTCTAACTTCGCTAAAAGAAGGTCCGTATGACTCCGGATTGCCTGTAGGTCGTCTTTGCATCTGCGAAAGCCCAATGCGGCCAAGGCTGAGCCCACGAATGACAAAGAACGCTGCAGCTAAAATGACGAACAGCTCATGCCCGAACCAGCCTTGTTTCTCCCCCCCAAACTCTTTATATCGCAAGGTCTACATCGGATGCTTCACAAGCTTTGCTCATTGCCCGCAGTAGGCCCTGATACGATTCCTGTTTCCCTCGATCTTCAGTCTCCAAACCAAACGAGGCTCTGAAGCCAACATACGAGGAAGAGAGGTTCTTAAACGACCTTGACATCAAGCCCTCCTAAATCATATGGGCGCCTTGTAAAACTCCGTCTTAAACCCTCAATGTAACATTGGACAATAAGAAAGTGCACACACACACACACAACCCTAGATCTCGACGCTTACACCCCCAGAGCCTTCGACACGAGACCCTAAAGCAAACCCGTAAACCCTAAACCCTAAAAGTGCCTACTCTCACAATGCGTTGCCAGGCCGGGCAAGGTCTTTCCCACCTTTCCTGACCTTTCAGACTTAGAAGCGACTCAGCGGAACAAAAAGAGCAGCTTCGGTGGTTTTTGGGTTTTAGAGTCCAGGGTTTAGGGTTCGGAGTTTAAGTTTAGGGTTCAGGGTTTTGGAATTATCATTTAGAATTTGAGGATGGGGTCTTCAAGCATCAGCTGAGAAAGGCCAAACCTCCGGTGTTGAGGATGTCGTGTCGTATGCACATGTCAGTTGCAGTTCGCAGAAACGATAATCTGACGACCGTCGGATTGCTTGTCTCTTCGAGCTCGTACGTCCATGCCGCCGCCGGTGCTCTTTGCCGTGACGATCGGCCGCGCTTTCCGGTGCCTATGGCGGTGTTGAAGCTTCGTGTCCCGGGCTGCCTTGGCAGCCGAATGCATGCCGTTTTCAGCCGTGCTGGCAGCTGGCGCTTTGCCCGATCGCATTCCAACGTCTTGCCGCAAGATTTTTGGGAATGTTGTGCTCGCGCCGAGTTTCTTCTTTTATTCCCATATACCTATTAGCCTGTTGAAGGCACTGGACGGCTGAAGTCGATCACTTGCTACAGCGCTCCGAAAACCGATATTGCCAAGGATTTTTGATTCGAAGTTCGAAGTTAACTACGGAGCGCAACCTGCGCAACGGAAGTATATTCACATCTGCCGCAGCATGTACCGTCTCGGCTGGAGCGCAGGCGACCATGGACCATTGCTGCATCATCACCACTTCACACTGAAAGTTGGTGGTCAAAGTGTAACGCAGCTCGGGCGACGTTGGCGCTGTGCCATCACGATTGGTCGCGAATGATGCGTGAGAGTCCTCCTACCCGTGGCGACGGTATGAAAACACGTATTACTTGCAGCGCGACAATCTCACATACTGTGTGGTTCTGCGCGGCTTTTACGGCTCCTTCATGACAGACACGGGTAAGCTTCCATGAGTTTGGCACGTCAACTTGTTGGCGGAGACTGATCTCCCGCCAACCATGGTAGATTTGCTGCTGTAAAGCAACTAACTTTCGGGGTGCTACTTCACTTCGGTTTTCCAATCAGCAACCAAAATCAGTTATGTGCCTCCGTCGTTGTCTGCCAGCTTCATATCGCTAGGAGTCACCCGGTGTCAGCGGCCGTTAATGTTTCTAAATTCTGGAAGTGGAGAGTAATCTACAGTAGATCAATCGAGGTTTGATCTACAGAACTGCGATACGGATGCAGCTGGCCTTTGCGAAGCTTCGCTGGCAGGCACCCACCTGGATGACCATGGCGGGAACCATCGCCTCACGTAGGCCGCTGTCTTGCAAGGCCAGCACGCACCGTCCTACGCTTTGCCTGAGCCTAGTGAACGAAGACAAGGATGGCAACATCTCGGTTCTCGTGCTTGCTCTTCCCATTTTCGCGTTGCCTGCCTTGGATTCCGCCGGGGCCCGGCCCCGGGCCGGTACATGGCTAAGTGCCATCCCTTCCCAACCAAGTTTCGCGTTTGCACCTGACTCCGTCGTGCCGCTGCCCCTTGGCCCGCGCCGCTGCGGACATGCAGGACGGGTGTGCACAGGTCTGGTCGACCGCCATCATTTTGCAGCCCGCCCCCGCACAGGTTGCTCGCCCGCCACACCGAGCCTCTGGAGCGGACATGCGTGTTGGGCCGGAGCGTCAGGCGGTGGCAACGGCGAACGTCTCCCCCTGGCGTTGTGACTACGGTGCAACCTGCCGGGGCGAGGCACTTTGCCGCAATGTGGCCCTGGTTTCGCCATTTAGACGGGACGAACAATCCAGCACCGTTCAGATGTCAGGTTTAATACACATTGAAGGTGGGAATCGTTCGGTCGTGAGGACGAGCGGCTTCGGACATGTGCAGGTCCAGGTGGTTTTAGCAGGTCCGTCGCTCTAACGTAACGACAACGCAGGCCTTGAACACCGCGGTCAGGGCCGCACAAGCATGCCATAGTCGCGGATGTCGACCGTTAGCCTCAGCTCATTCAAATGCCGTGCAAAGATTGTAGCTTCCACTGCCAGCGACATCCCTTTACGCGCACCATAGCACCCCCTGGACCAGTATGTAGGGGGGCGGGTGTGGCCCAGGAGTATCCTCTATGTTATTCGGGATTGGGGGGTGTGGGGGGAGGATTCATCAGGAGTACGAAAACCCCCGCTCCACATGGTCGTCGGAGGGTGCCTTGGACCCTGACAGGGGATAGAGAGATAGAGAGATAGAGACAGAGGGAGAGAGAGAGAGAGAGAGAGCGACAGAGAGAGAGAGAGAGAGAGATGAGAGAGAGGGAGGGGTAGAGAGATGGAGAGAGCGGGAGGGAGAGGGAGAAAGGGAGATCCAGACAAACTGATTCCCTATGTTCTGCTTTGTTTTCCCTTGCTGCAAGCAATTTCCGCCATGTGGGCCATGTCACAGTGCCCAACCCGAAGACAGGACCTTGTCTCCCTGTAGAAGCCGCAACGATCCCGAAACCACCCCCGCGCGAAATATATCAAAAACCACTCTGAAAGCACTGTCACAGTGCAAGCCTCGGGGCCGTGTCACAATGCCCAACCCGAAGACAGGACCTTGGATCCCGCCGCGGTCTCCCTGTCGAGGCCGCAAGAGGCGGTCCCAGTCTAAATTACAGTGGGGGGGCTTTCAGCTTCTACTACGAAACACTCAAGATCCCGAGATAACCCTTCCGCGAAGTATATTAAAAGCCACCCTGAAAGCTTGAAAGCATTGTCACAGCCGCATGCGCCTGTTTCCCATCTCGAATTAACGGGAAGCACGGCAGCAGTTTGCAGCAGTGGTCCTGCACCGTAGCAGCGCCATTCCGACACCCGCCCTTCCCACGAGCCAGGAGAGTCCATCGCCGTGCCGTTGCCTGCAGGATCTCGTCGTATAGGGTATTGGGGTGGTATTGGGGATCGGCCCTGTCGTCATTGTTCAAGAGGGCAACAGCTTCGGTAGTTCATTAAGGCGCGCGAGGCCAGCATGTCACCGATAGAGCTGACGTCGAGAGGTTTTGTCTTCAAAACATTCGCTTCGGCACACCCATCATAAGCTTACTGGTATTGCGACATGGTCCACACCTCATTCGGCCCGTGTGATGATTTTTACGTGGATGCTGGCGGCAGGTTTTCGCAAGACACGCCACAGCTGCATGGTGGGTTGGATTCCCGAGCACCGGGAGCCAACAACGAAGCGCCCAGTTTCATCCTCAGCGAGATACGTATTTTTCGACAGACGTGTGCGACCATGTCCTGATGACGACAATGCCATCATTGACATCAACTGCCTGTGCGAAGCCATGGCCACGAGTTGTCGTTGTCGTGGTGCAAGTACTGGTGCCCACGGTGGTAGTGATTGGTTCCAGATTGGCGCAGGATTGGAGCAGTTGTTCGCACAACATAATGGCAAGCTAGTATTTTTCAATTTTGTGGCAACCATCTGTCAAACCGCCAGATCCCTGTGTGAACGCTTGCTGA